ATTTTTATTCATACAGGTCATTTTAGTGCAGTTAAAAAGAAAAATATGTTTAACCTGTCTTGTGCCAGGCATGAATTATCATGGTTGTTGTTTTTGATGTCGATAATGTTGTTATATCATTGTTGTCATGTGACATATAAATTGTGAAGGTTTAATAAATGAAGAAAAGATATACAAATAGTTGAAGTATTTCTTATTCTACCAGCCAGATTGGATTCAAGAGAAAGTGTATGACTCACAAAACATGGTTTAAGACGTGTGAATATGAGTATTATTAATTGAAAAACAAGTCTTAGCGTAGTATAGTACCAGCAAATAAAGCAACCTTTTGTCAGCTTGAAGCCGGACTACTTTTACTAATATTATCATTTAGACTTATTATACATGAGATCTCACATTTCGTGAAACAAATCAGATTTATGATAAGACTTACATACACTAGAATGACATTAGATCGAATATATAGAAATAGAAACAACAATATCAGTAGTAGAAATTACACGTACAAATATAATGAAAACTAAACTACTTATCTTAAGATGTACTGGTACCCTAAAATTGATGATTAATTTCTAATATCCTGATTATCTCCCTTTATTTATTCAGTTATATCTATGCTTATAGACTTGCCTTCTGAAACTTATTTTTAGCGTCATTTGAACGAATTGTCTATCTAAATTAAAAAAAACATACCTTACCCTTTTAACTTGTATAAGCAAAATTTTAGAGAGTTTATATGGAAGTTATTGATGACTTAAAAACTTCTTTAAATAACTTATGGGACAAGTGAACATATACATGTTATGTTTATAAATTAATGATTTTAAACAGCAAGTACATAACACGTTTTTTTTTTTACCAAAATCGCCATTCTTAGTATGCATAAGGATAGGGAATTAAATTTCTTCACATTAATGGCCCTATTTACAGTGCAAATTAGTCGTATTGGATCTATTTTGTCGTGTTTCGGAATAATTAACTTTGCTACCGTAAAGAAATATTAAAATTGATAGCCTTATATATCTCAGTTTTGCTTAAAAGTACCCTATGAATAAAGAAATTACAAAATTGTAATAAATGAGTGATCTCCATTTTCTGTCTGGATGCCACTTTCAGAGCGTTCCTGTCATTATCATTTTACATTTTGGTCCGCAACGGGCAGAAAATTTTCTCTTTGACCATACTAGTTTCGGCGCCTGTAACATATTCAAGAAAAGATACACTGGCGCCCTTCGGGCTCGGGCTTCAAATGTTACATGCTTGTGTTCGTGCACGCAAAATATTTGTATATTACGGATTAGCAATTGTTATATTTATCAATTGCCATTTGAGCTGTATGTAACGGAATAACCTAACGTTTATCTATTATTGAAAACGAGCGTCGCCACTGAACATTACGTCTACGTATGAGTATTTGTATCTTGGTAAGACGGATGAACAAACCTCCACTAATTTTAAACGTACAAGTATTTAGCATTACTCTCAATGAAAGAAGGCACGTAGTTGTTGATGATATACCGTACTGGTTGAAATATATATATATAAATAAAAACGGACAACACTATTTAACTTCACCTGCCAAAACATAGAGAAAACAAGAGTTGAAGCGAGGTTTTATTTCCTTGTTGTAAAACAACAGTGATAAGTTGTTCGGAGGATATGACGTGACCTTCTTACACCTCGTGTTCACAATGTGAATAATAAGAGTTTTGTTTCATGTTTATGATATTAAATTTTGTGGTTTAAAGATTACAAAAAAATCTCTAACTGTGTACTGTTTAATATACTTCAAACAATTTAATTCATAACAATCAGAAAAAAGGTCATCTACTCAACAATTTCGAAAAGAAGACACAGTTACGTCTAAATATTTATCAATTCTCCTCACAAGCCACACTGTCAGAGATTTTGAAACAAAATCTTTAATTATCAAGCGTCTTTCCGAAATGTTTACATTGTTATACCAAGAAACTTCGTCACCTTCCAGCGGCTGGTGCTCACAGATTATTGGAAAGTCAATTCATATTTGAGGGACACGTGACCTGGTTTTGATACATGGAGAGGTAGATGATATAATTACTCATCAAATGTTGTTATATTTTCATAAATGCTGCAAAAATTAAACATGCGTGTATTCAAATAGTAAGTATAATTATTGAATTTATTGGGTAGTGTATTTCATTATATCGTGGAACAATCGACTTAGAATTATTGATTGAAATGTGTGTTAATCGGGCGTTCTTAAATTGATTCTGATTTTCAGACATATCTTGCAATCTAGTTCTGGCTTCCAAACTTTACAAGTCGCTTTTTTCACAAATTTTTGTTTTTCATTTCATGCGGCATTCATAACGGATACGCAGATGACCATAAGCTTTTGCAATCGTAATATTACTGAAATAGACCTTATTAGGAAGCCGCGATAAGCATAGTGCATTGTGATTCTTTCTTATGGAGATGTGTCAAATTCTCCAGGATATTGTTGTGAAAAATTGCTCTTACCTGTGTTTAAAAGATCCCCCAAAATCATGTACAACTGCCAATTAATGGTGGTATGTAACACCGCAAAACGTCCGTACCGCAAAACGTTCGCGTGTGGACGTTTTGCGTCGCATATCGTACACATGTGGACGTTTTGCGGTGCATATCGTACTTGGTACGTTTTGCGGCGAGAGTGTGTATTTGCGCCGCATATCGTCCACAATTTCTGTAGTAAAATATATTCACGAATACTTCAAGGACATTTATTCATCTTGAATTATATAATTCTACCAGAGGTATTGCACTGAAATTGAATAAATGTAGATTACGACTTAATGTAAGACAGTGCTTCTTTGATCGACGTAGGTCGGAATGGTCTGATGTATTCATACAAAAGATTGACGGCAAGAGCCGAAAAGTTGCGACTGTAATGCATTACGAGCAAAGCATTTCAAATTTGAATTATATGATAAACATTTAGGGATATAGAATGAAAATATAAGTCTTTGATTTTGTTACATGGTACATGCCATATGAGTAATGATAGTTACTATCTGCACAATGCAATTCTTAGTTGTTTTTTTACAATCTAAAATTTCACTGTAATGCACAAACAAACCTTTTTCTTTAAAGCGGCCTTCAGCTTTTATTTTTTTGTTGAAAAGCTAAAGATCGCTTTAAGTGCTGTTATGCGTTGTCAAAGATAAAGTCACTGGGCTTTTCTATCAATAAAATATAACTTAGTTTCATTTTTGATAAAAACCTCCGATTGCTTAAATCATTTACTATTTAACATTTTACCTTTATCATTATTCAATATACATGTAAAGTATTCTGAAGGCCAATTAAGCTCCAGAAATGCAGAAATGCTATCATTTTCATTTTCTGAAAACATTATTTTTGTATTTCTTTTTTCAAAAATTGTCTCATTGGTTTTGTAGCTAAACATCTTTGGTTTCTTTTGCTCTTTGGCATTTTGTATAATATAGTGATTAAGTATAATGTACATATGTCAATATACTACTTTATTTACATTCTACTAAACTTATTACACTAAAGTGCATGTTCAGTGCTACTTCCTTCATTTGTTTAACATATAATATTCTCTAAACCATTTATAAAAACATTCTTTAACACATGTTTGTTTTCCTAAAAAAAACAGCAACATTGATTACTTAGGCACAATGTGCCATTAAACAAAAGAAAACCGCACAATGAAAATAATTAATATATTGTTATTGAAAGGTTTTTGTATTTAAGTGCAGACTATTCGAGAAAAAAGTTCTGCACATTAGATATAATAAGATTTCATCAACGAAGAACTTGCCCGTCTTGACAACTTTACCTCAAAACAGCCGATGTTTTGTAGCTTGATTTGTGGCGACTTGTACGATGTTTTTTCTACTAATGTCCATGTGGTTTGTTTTTTGCATGTACCGTCAAAGTACTGTAAATTGCTCGTAAACTTATGTCAACTAAGTGACAATAAACCTAAATTACGACAATAACCTGTCATCTATCCGCCATTCCCGAATACTCGGCGCTTACTGAACCGAGAAATACAAAATCCAAGACGATTTCCTATTATCTCCCTTGGTGAAATTGTCTGTGTAAGATTTGTCCAACTTTTATACCGCTTATACCGCTAAATGTGTTAAGCGTGTTCCAGCTTAATTTGTTCGAAGTTTGTAGTGCCAGATTGTACACCTCTTATCCCACTGAATACCCAACGCTGTCCCGCTGAAATTCTTCAACGTTTATTGTTTATACCGCTAAAAGTTTTACAACGTTTATCGTTTATATCGCCAATTTTGTACAACGTTTGTTGTCCTTACCGCTAATTTTGTTCAATAGATTGTCGTGTTTTAAAATTGAAGTAGGCTAGTGTTTGCAAGCTGAATTTTCCATTTGGCTTGGATTTTTACGGGTAGCATAGACAACTTACTGTCGTTCAGAATTCTCAACAAAGAAACTTTTTGATTGAAGAACAAGGACTTATACTAGTATAACATAATTTGGTTATTATATAGAAATTTAAAAAAGCCGAAACGTTAAAATTTTAAACTTATAGGCGCTAAAACTGTATGTAGTTATTAAAGCGAGCTCGAAGAGCAGGCCCTAACAAAATTGACACATCGCAACTTTTCGAATTAAGAGGTAACGACAAAAGCCGAGGAATTCTAATGAAACACGGATGCGCAGACTGGTCTCCTGCGCACTTCTATGAGAACCATTAAAGGACATGGAATAAACGAAAATACCGAAATAAGAGTTTTAAAACGGAAAATGTAAAGTAAAATTGAACGATTATTTTATTCTATATCATAAATCGAGCTCGCTTTGAGGCTTTGCTTTTTTCATATTATATATAAAATTAGAAAATTTCTTCTGTTACTAGACAATATGCAGAAAATAATTGATGGCGGATATAAGTAGCATGAATAAAAATATAGTGTGTTTTTTCATGCTAACAAACACTGTTGGAATAAAATTTAACCAAACAAAAGCAACAACGAAGATTTTTTTTTTCTGAAAAATTTCTCAACTTTATTCTTTTTTGATACTCAACATATCTATTAAAGAAAAATAAATACCACTTTGATTAATATGAAATACGGCATATAAAATCAAACATATAGTACAAACTATATACCATCCACACATAATGATATGATAAAATATTCATGTCTATGAAATAAAATGTCGAAATACCACGAAAACAAAAATCAAAACTCGAGTATAAACCGGGTGATCAGTTCTCTTCAGCCAGTTATTCAAATAAAGTCAAATCAATTTACTTCCCTTTAGATAAATGTTCACCATTTACATATTTCAGAAAGGACATAAAAAATGGAAAGAAACAATTGCTTATTTAGGCATTGACAATACCAAAAAAATCAGTAAATCGAATTGTATTCAACTATTTCATGAGTTGTATTAATTACTATTAATATAACGTCGACTAGCCAATAGCAATACGCGGACTGTCTGAAACTTTGTTCATTTAATATGTTTTCGTTACTTAAAGCAACACCAGATAAAGAACACATTAATAATTCTAACCGAAGCCGTGGTATATTTTTATATAAAAGTGGGGTGATATTCCTCAAAACTAACAATAACAACATATCTAACAATAAAATAAAATGAGAATTAAAATGATAAATGAACAAAATGTAAATGTTAAAAACGAGATGTAAGGTTAACAAGATGTAAGTTCTTTTAGACAAAATGTTCATGAAAAATAGCAAGTTCACAGTTCAAACATTCAATAATACAATAGTAGCTAACGATACGTGAACAAAAAACACAATTTTAAGCAAATTACAAAAGAAGAAAAAATACATTTTAATTAAAAATAATGCATAAAATATACTCTAAACAAATATGAGCAACACTTTAAAATCAATAAACCGGTATACATTGTCAAAATGAATTTTCAGATCTATACAGAAACGATTTCTTGAAATTAAATAATGTAATTAATTCAATTTTGATGTAGGAGCATACAATTTCTTCCAACTAAAATATCGGAACAAGGTCAATAAAGTTTCTGCTTAAAATTTGTAAATCATTAGAATATCACGAACTTTACAAAAATGTCCATTACAATGCATTTATTGTATCGGTTAATAAAGCTTTCATTCTAAAGTCAATCAATCACTCACCGATATACATGTAGTTTAATTGACCATTCAATCATAATCTACACAAGTACACAATTGTCATATCACAGTTGTTAGGTAGAATATCAATAAATGAGTACATAAATACCGTCTTCATAACTCATTGTCTGGCTGGTGCAGCAACATATATGCAACAATAGTCATTAAAGTGTGCCAGAAATTGCATCGGTTCATAAGAAACTGTGTGAACTTTAATTAATAAAAGTCAAATGAAAAAAAATACATATACATTTAAAATTAAGAAAGTAAAACTTTAAATTTGCGCATATGGCCATACTATATGGTCAGTACTATTTCGAACAAACTGCTTCATATATTTTCAACTCAAAATGTGTATGTCAGCCTATATTTAGTTCAGTCAAGTTTGTTGGCACATGGCTTTCAAAATAAATCAATAAAACACAATTAATCAAGCTTTGTAAATCAAGCGTCAGGAAGCTGATAAAAGCAAACGTTTACTAGAAGAAAATGTTTCATGCCATCCCTAGGCATTATGTTTTTCTTGTTTTTAACACAACACCATAGCGTGTTACATAAAATAATAAGCTCCTATACTGTTTTACGACAACTTGTCACCAAATGCTCAATACCAACAAAAAGAACACAATGCTTATTCAAATTTCGATGTGAACTATGCTTTTGCTTATATATAAAATGTGCACTGAACTAATATTGCAGGTAACAGTGTTCCACAAAGCATAGCTTTACACCGATAACATTTCTCAACAACACAACCGGCCAAGTTCAACTCTCGTTGAAGAAAGCAAAAACACGAGATTTGGAAAACCGGGATTCTATTTATAGACAGGTTCAAAGTTTCGTGTCAACACCCTGAAAATAAGTAAAAAACATTGCAATATTCACGACTAGAATAATTTTTTTCAAAAGGCATGTCAAACGCGTCAGAAAGTATAACTGGCTAAGTGCACATGAAGGTCAGAAATAATCAACTATAGTTTTATATGAAGTTTGTATTATTAAAAATAGTTAAACTTATATTTAAAAAATACAAAAACGGAATACATTATTTTATTAAAATCATTGATTTTATATAATATTCCGGTAAGGGTTAACGAGAAACAACGCTAAGACTTTATCTCATGCCCGGATATTTCAATGTTAAACAACAACCACCGAGATATACCACCCATCTCAACACAGAAATAAGTGTATATAAGGAATAAACAAGACCAACACAAATACACAAAGACAAAACACAAATCAGACAAACACAAAAGACAAAGTTACAAAAGGACATATATAGCACAGGAAAGCAAAGCAAGACAATTCCAGAAATCTGCCGCAACCTTAAGACAAATGTTGTTTAAGATAAGAAATGAGATAAATACATTTACAAAATATTTGAAAAGAATAAAGAATGTTAGGGACAGGTACAGAACAAATGACATGCAACGAAATTGTAATAAAATCATGCGTAAATATATGTAGTAATCGATTACACTAGCTAATAGCAATATTACAGTAAATACAGAAATATATATGTAACACAAATTCAATCCAAAGAAAATGAGAAAGTATATACAGAAAAAAAGTGATACGAGAAAAGATGGAACAAAAAAGATGAAAATGTACATGCATAGGTAAGATTACAAACACGTAATAATGCACAAGTCAATAGTAATGGCGGACTCCCATTTCCGGGACAGAGTGGCGTAGAGCAGAGAAATTGAGCCGAGATTTTGTTTTGATGCCAAACTAGTGTGTGATATGTGATATGTCGAATTTGCAGTATGAAGAATATTTAGCGGAGACTTTCCAACGTAACTGTACCCGTTTGTCAAAATAAAAGAACCTGTCATTTAACACGCCAGAGTGGGGAACCGTTGATACTATTGACTAGTGCGTACGATAGTAGTACAGTAAACAAAGGGTTTATACTAGATTACAAATAGTTCAAATGCGAACACATTCTAAAACTGATATGCCATTTTACTTCGTATTTACCTCAGATTCGCCATTAGGGTTTTGACTTATTACATCTTCAAAGACAGGATTATCTTCGCCTGTACTGTAATTTGAATTTACACTTTGTTTCGGACTAAGCGGAAGTGTAGATGCAGTGCTGTTCGACACTGTCCGTCCAAGATTAAAGTCATCCAGACTGACGCTGCTCATTCTGCTAAATGATGGCACATACACTGAGTCCAGGTCGTCATCCGAATCGGCAGGGGTCGGTGGTTCCGGCTCGTAAGTGGCCTTGGTAAGATCTGTCTGACTGTTGACTGATAAACCAAGTGAAGCCAGGCGGTTGAGAACCGGTAACAAACTGCTTCGCCTTCTTCGTCCAGCTGTAAAATTATGAACGTTTATGAGCGTTTCTCGTTTATGCACATTGTCACATCGAAACATTCTTGACACATACGTCAAAACAATAGTGTGTACAACAGTAATCTTAGTAAAATGTTTGACTATCTTTTTACGTTATATCGTGTTTGCCAATATACAGTATGTTTAAGGAACTATGTTTTAGGTTTTGACTCGTTCTTTCAGACATGATCTATATAGAGTAGAACCACTGACTTCCCGGAAGTTAGCTGTTTTAAATACCACGCATATTACAACTCAGACAGATGAACGGCAAGTGGTTCGCAGTGAGTGACCCTAAATATTTGGCTTCACTAGTTTGTCTTAATTAAATAACTTACCGCCATTTGCAGCACAACTTTGAATCTCCTTGTCGTTGGCACCTTTCCTCTTGGACAGAGATTGCAAATTCTTTACTTCAACCTAGCAGAAGAAGAATATTGTTTATATTTAGCTAATCACTTGCTTCTGTATCTGGGCTTTATATACATATTGCACATATATATTTTGTCCTAGTATACATGTATACTCATAATGTTTAATGTAGATCTTTTATTTCAGTACATCACTAAAACTTATATCACAACTAATTATAGACATTTGAGCCGCGTCACGACAAAACGAACATAACCGCGCAGTCTGATCAGGATCCATGCTGTTCGCTATCAGTTTCTTTACTTGTTATAGGGTCTGTAAGCGAACAGCATGGATCCTGATTAGACTGCGTGGATGCTGGTCGCAAACCCATTATGTTGGTTTTGTCGTGACGCGGCTCATTTTATAATTATTAGAATAGTGATATAGATTTTTTATGAAGCATCGGTACAAGACGTTGAAAATTTGTAAAAACCCACATATTTTTTTTGACCTTTTAACCTTAACTTTTTGTCTTTCTTTTTCGTTCTTAAATACATAACGTAAATTATTTGTCCGTTAAAAAAAATCGGTCATGGCCAACGTAAAATGTGTTATTAATTTGACGTTAATTTATAACGTTTAGACAAGCGTCAGCTGTTCTTCCGGTCTGTCTATCCGGACTTAATTTTGTTACGAAAAATTATTCAAAATAATGTTAATTAAGATTTGTTTTTGATGAGAAGTTTATTTTTAAGTCTTATGTGATTGACATTATGGAATTTTTAGCTCCCATTCATAAAAAGCCCGATATATACCGGAAGTCCTCAAACAGAGATGTTTCTTCTTATTTACCGTTTTAAAAAGTGACTTATAATATTTTAGCTCGGGTTCACAGTTAAAATTTTTACAGCTACAATCGATAAATATATTTCGAAATAATAGTCCGAATATTTACATAAGGTGCTAGAATAAGACGCGCACGTGATTTTAGCATTAACATATTTGCATTGATCGGTTATATGTTTGATGGTTTTTGTCATCACACATATACAATAAAAATCTGGGAACATTACGGGGAATGTATGACACGAGCTAGTAAAACATACACCTATTCGATGACCAGTTATGCATGTATAGTAATAAAGAGGACATTAAGCATTACATGGTCATATATTGCCGGGGATCAATCTCTATAAATCTGTAAACGTGATACTTGTCAGCCGTTAGTTAAGGATTTGGAAAACCTAAGCTACGGCATATTTCAACAAACAAAAAATGGAAACATTTAAGGCTGCTGCTGAAACTCTGAAAATGTGATAAGTGAAAAATGTGACTGTAGATGTTCGAAACCTTAAAGGCATGTCAGCATAAATAACAATTCTATTTAAATGATTTTAGTATCGATCTATTCTTTGCGACATGTACAAAGATGAAAATTGAACCAGAAACCTACTAGAACATATAAGCTGATCTGGCTATACACTTGTGGCCATCGCTGATCATTTTCGGTTCTAGTAGGATCTAATCAGTCTCTGTACTGTTCTGTGCTCTATTTTTTATGTTTCGATATTAAAAAACCCCGCAAATTTCAATGTACTATTCTTTACCAGGTAAAGTAGGGTTTGGGGAAGTCCATAATTCAGAGGGTTACTTATTAAGTGCTCAAAATGACATCATTATACACTTTGAAACCGTTGACTGTTTACTTTAAGTCTCTTATACACAGCACTAACTGAAAGGTGTAAAATTGCCATTACAATTTCATAGAATATATTTTATTGCAGAGAAATGAACAAAAGTAATCAATGGAATGCCATGGAGCAATATCCTAAAAACCATGAATCATTTAGGTCAAGAAAAAACTCTGTCAATGTAATAACGACGTGATCGTGAGTAATATATGGCAAAAAAACAACATTTTATCCTTTGTTGGTTTTGTCTTACTATCACAAACTATTGATCAGCGACACAAATAAAAATTAATGACCCTTTATCAATTATCTATCGATGACCTAAGTAACGTACAGGGGAAACGAAACACCTCTCTATAAACTGAATTGAAGTTATTTTCGGCAAGGAACAATATTAGCTTATTTTGAACAGATTTTGGGTACATTTGTATGAATTATGCACACTTACTCTATATAACTCCACTTTCATCTTAAGGTCGTTGGCCCTCTTCACTGAACCTCTGTATTGTTGCTTAACAATCTTAAGTTGGAGCAAATCTCGCCCCTGTATCACCAACACAAAACCTGAAGAAGAATTCATATTTCTATCATTGTGTGGTAAATTTTGGTCTTTTCTTTGACTAACTATACATTTAATAAGCGTTAATATGAAAATGAGCAACAATCCTCCATACACTAAGCGCTTTTTAGAATTAATATCAGATATGGAAAGTTAAACTAATATAAACAAGCTTAAATCTATTGAATGACATTGATTTTTTGTGATGATTTGCATAGGGTTTTTAAGTTTGAAAACCCTAGGGGTTAGGGTTAGTATAATGTATAAACGATACAAATAAACGTATAAAGAATGATTCAAAGCTTTTTTTACACTCTCATATTTCAGAAGTTATTTATTTACACATACGAAATATCCAAAAAAAAAATCTTAATGAATTACATTGTTTGTCCTTAATAAATAACATCTGTTTAGAGTATTTTCCTGTATACTTAAATGTTTTGTAAAGAATATTATAAGTAATTATGTAAGACACACACACCATTGTTAATAAGTTTTTGTCATTAAGTGGTTCTGATTAATGTCATGTGTCACTAGACCATCAACTTGCTGTATTTGTGCGACTTCAACACCAAAATACAAAAAATAAACCAACTTAGAGCTTGGTCAAACTGTATGGTCGTGTATGCCGGTCTTTCTCAAAGACTACTAGTAATCAGTTTTAATTCTAGTCAGTTAAAATCTTTTGAGATATAAAAAGTTAAACATGCGCAGTTTTTATGATTTTAGTCTTAGAAAAAAATCATGTGATTATTTCCGCTAGTAATAGGAAAGTGCCATTCACAAAAAGTACCTTCAAATATGTATAGCCTATTGCTTCATTGGAGAATGTTTTAATATATTTTTCATTTATTTTGATGTTCCTATTCATTTCTTATATCCTTATAATCAAATATTTGCCATTTTTTAAAAATATAATTCAGAAAGTACAAAAATGGTAAAAAATATCCTACATGTTTATATGACAAAAGTAGTAATATGGACCTTGATACAAATGTTGTTTATCCCAAACTATATTATTTAATTAATTACCCAATTATAATTTGTCTCCATCTGAATATAAATTGTCGGCCAGTTTCCTTGTTGTATGTTTTTTTATGTTTCTAATGGTTAGCTAAGTCATTTGACATCTAAACCACACGACGTTTTTATTTTGTCAGGATAATGTTTCCATAAATAACCTCTAGTTCTATTTCTAGAATGATAAGATGTGTTTTTTTAACCCCAAGTTTGTGCAACGGACCGTTCTGTTCTGGCTTGTTTTTTTGTTATATTTAATTGAAGTAAAATATGTAGTCAAAAATATGCGGTTCGATATGATTGCAAGATTTTCTCGTTATTTCTCTTGATAACAGTTGAGATTTATTTCGCCATGCATGATCACAATTTGGAAAAATTGTTTGAATATAGATTTTTTTTGGTTTTACCCATCCTTCATAAAGTTTGTATTCCTTTTAATTTTCTTTATATTTATTCTAAGATATTATTTCCATAATTCTTTTATAATTCTTGATAGTAACTGTATTATAGCCGTAAGTACCATATATCTATATTTATTTATGACCAACTTTGTAATAGAATGATTATCTTAACAAGAAGTATTGTTATATTTTGAATCTATGTTAAATTTTGGGGACGGAACCGCATTAGGACAGAACCGTATTAATTAATTATAAGTATCAAATATGAGAGTATGACTAGTTTAGTGAGTTGTGTGGCCCAATATAACTTTTCTCACGCTGGCAATTACTCAAAGTTTATGGTTACAGAACATGACACAAATTACTGTAACTACCCGCTTCATAAAACCTGTCACCTAACTCAAATATCACACACACGGTGATTTGAGTTACGTCCAGCCGTCTTAAATGGACACCTGTCTTATTTATGTACCTTACCATGAAAGCATGACGGCCATTATCAACAGTCTGGACATCGTGATCTTACAAATTTGCATTAGATTATTAAGATTTCAGTCAATAAAATTTATATTTAGTTTCCTAAACGGTTTTTGACCTTAATAAATTAACTTTTGAACGTATGGAAAATGGTGTTTTACGAAGGTTTATTTTAAAAAATTATGTCTTCCGATAATGTCGGAGTGTATGTTTGGCATCCATTCGTAATATGAAGCTAGAAGGAGCTAAAGCGCGTTACTGATTGACATTTCTCGATTAGTATACTCCGGTGCTCAATGTGAAGATAATTAAAATAAAATGGCGACATTTTCGTACATTTTTGAACTTCATATTCAGAATGAACTTTGTGCACTTACTATTCACTATCCTGATAACTCTCCATGGTAGGATAAAGATCATGATATTTGCAGCCTCGTCTTCGGGATGTGCCCAGAGACCTTCCCAAAACACAAGATCTAGTGCCCAGGAAACAGTTATTACAAACGCGTCGAAAACCTGCATAAAATAACGTGTAACTTTTGGATGAAACAACATACAGACAAATAAAACAACATTCTTGTCATATAGCGTTGTTTTTACAACATGTTAATGTATTCATTTATTCGCTTCTCCTCAGTATGAAGCGATGTAAATAATAATTTTAACAGAACATTTGTCATTCTGACATTTAATCTAGTTAGAAGAAGATTTGAATAATACATGTTCTTTTATTTTGATACATTTAAGTACATTTGCTGTGCGATAATTCTAAAAGAAGACATTTTATTATGTTTTATAGAGGTGGAGTAGCATACACACCAAAATATATAGCTATATTTATAGAAAATAACTTTGTAATATGTAAATGTTGCTTATTATAGCACCACAATTTACAATAAAAAATTTGTGGCATTCCTGCAATTATATTTTTTCTTCTTTTAAACTTACCTCTATCTTATGATGAAGGAATTTCTTTCCCATTATGAATATCTTAAAGTATGTGACTAATACTAAAAAGGTGAGGATGACCATTGACCCCAGATGGAACGCGTGGGTAAGCTCGTGCAACATATAATGTCTATATTTAGCTGCATCCGTCTGGAACATGTCATGCTTATGGTTGGCGCCTGCTCCACGCTTTTTCCTAGAATGCACGTGAAAATCACTATGGTCGTGGGCGTGGTCATGCAGGGGATGATGGTGATCTACTAGTGCCCCAAGGTCAATGCCACGCTCTGTGTCGTTTGACATATCTGGCCAAGGTCGTTTAGCCATCTTGGCTAGTCGGTCAATTGCGCCATGCTCTATTCCATCATGATGAGTATGACCAAAATCTCTCTGAACTTCCAACAGTATATTCGGCAGAGACCAGTTGCCATGGATTGTTTGATTGAGTGTGTTAGGGAACGTCTTAAAAACGATTTCTTTAGACTTAGCTTCTAGGATTTCTTTTTCATGTAATTCATCTGCAAACAGAGAACAATATAGATCTAGTACTCTCAATGCTCTAATGAATATTTAAAAAAAAAAAATTCTATGATATTAACACAAAATGAAAAAAACATGTTTCGATTAATCTTGAATGAAATATCTCCCTCATGATCATTTAATTTAATTATTCATAATAGGTGTAAGTAAATACCGAACATCAGATGACAAATCGACGCTCACGTGTTAAAATCTCTCTCGTTATAATACTGAATGTGAATTTTCTTTATTGAGTTTCACATGGCAATAAAAAAACTTGTTGAATTCATTTAGTAGATCGAGAGCAAGAAGTTACATAAGTTTTTAATTATTCTATGTTACTGAATGATGATTAAGTGATTAAGAAAGAATTCAAGTCTTTAAGTTTCTTATATATATATAATCAGTTCTAAATCCGATCATATATATATATACACTAAAATATATAATAGTATCTTTGGGAAAATAGTCGCCGGAAGTACACATCAGAGTCTTTACATTTTTCTCTCTTGCAATGAAAAGGTCTTTTCTTCACTAAATGATATCTAAGGGCATGATTTTTTGCAATGTGTCACAGCAATGACATAAACAGAGCATGGTTGTTGTACTAAAGCAACGAAAAAAAGTGAAGAGGAAAAAATGGACGCTGACTGTTTGATATGTTTTAAGATCAGATGCGTCACAAAACATGAGACTTTACAGATGTAATATTTAACTTGACATGTGTAACATTCATTTTTTTCTGCTAAATTTCACTGCACAAAATGTTAAAGGAACAATCTTTGCAAGCAGGATGTGTAAATATTACCAAAACTTGATCTAAATCGTACATACTGCTGTTTATATATTGTCATTGTTGTTATATGATTTGTAGTACAGAAGTAGAGTTCACTTCATGTTTAATGTAATAAACCTTTAAACATGTTAAAGATATATGCGTATTGTGTCTTTGTTTAAACTATGACGTCATTCGTTAGTTTGATAACGTCATTTTGAGGCGTGCTTTTGCTACTATTTGATTTTTGAACATAATATCAAGCTTATCCCACAGAAATGTCATAGATATGAATTGGATGAATATAAATCATATAAAATGTATATTGGACGCATTTCAAGTCAAGGTAAAAACAACAACAACATAAAGCTAAATAGGACAAAGGAGTAAGCTTTGCATAATACTTTCTAATGTCCACTGTGCAAATTGTTGCATTTATTTGTACATCTGTCACAAACAGCGTTAACGCCATATTTCAACCAATATTAGCCTGCATTCACCTATATAATTAATGACGTTTCTGACACAACGCGCAACAGTCGAGGTGACCAACATTCTGTTGATTTTTATAACTACATACGCATAAAGAAAAGCTTCGTGTTTATGACTTTAATTCTCAAAAATGTTTAATATAAACAATTGATAACTTAACGTAAAATATGGACGCTAAGATTTTGAAATATAAACGCTAAGATCTTGAAATATGAACGCTAAGATTTTGAAATATGAACGCTAAGATCTTGAAATATGAACGCTAAGATCTTGAAATATGAACTCTAGGAACTTGAAATATGAACGCTAAGATCTTGAAATATGAACGCTAAGATCTTGAAATATGAACGCTAAGATCCTAACGTAAATGGAGCGCAGCCATCAATTCCTCACTAACACTTGTCAAACATACCCACCAAAAGAATAATGCAAGAGGGTATTGTAATAAGTTAAGAAAAGTACAGAAAAAAAATCATTTTTATATACCGGTAGTTTACACGAGTTTAGAATTATTAAAGCTAAGGTTAACAAAAACCCACCACAAAAACAAAATTAATTCAACCCAGTGCAAAGAGTCAAGAGTTTTCATATGTTGCCTTACCTTTCATAATTAAAATATCAGATATAATTTGACCAATTACACAACCAGCATCTAATGTTGCACACGCTGTAAGTATGATGAGTGCGACATGAGTGTGTAATAATGTTGACATACGTTTCTTCATCCTGAAATTATATAAAAACATGTTTTACTATACATTGTATGAGTATATATTTCGTAAATATCAAGGATTGTTTACTTGCATTAAGGGTTTTCCATGTTTGTACCATTTCAATTTCAAATCTATCGCTGTTATGATTTGTCTCCTTGCTGTTTCATTTTCATTAGTTTTATATAAATTATGTCCCTTTAACATAAGCTTATCATTAGCATATGTGCCAGTCAGTTGTGTAGCCGAGTTCCATCCCCGCGGATGTGCAGGAGAAAGAACCACCCTCTCGGGTCAATGTGTTGATCCTAAAGTCAAAGTCTTCGGTATATCTTTGGGCGGTGGATGATTACAATCGGATAATGAATTTCATTATTCTTGTTCATGGCTAGAGACTTAATTTAATAAAATAAGAATAAGTATACTTTCATTTACATTAACTGCGCAATCGCAGTAGACAGGAGTATGTTATGTTGGTGAACCTGTACATGTTCTACTATGTATAACAACATGTACCCAAGGTGAACATACAGTTGACTCTCGGTAACTCGAAATCCAAGGGACTGGGCATTTTACTTCGAGAGAAACGGAATTCGAGTAACGTGGAACTGCCGCCATTACGTTGACATTCGTACATGTACCTGATTAAATGTGCAAAGAAGTAGGTTTGTTATTGCTGTTAGCGGCAATGCTGCAATATTTAACCGTTGAAATGACGGTTAATCACGTACAACTACAAATTATAGATGAACAAAAATATATCATTCAAAATTTAATACATGTATATTAATAGTGAAACATAAACACACAATTATATTTGATTTAATTGATCATCGGACGAAAACGAAAGTAGCAACTATCGTGAACCGGAAGTGCAAATTAATGTATGCAAAATGACGGAACATTAATTATACAAATGTCATTTACGTTGATAACACACATCAATACCTAGGCTCTAATTTGACTAACACCCGTCAGGCTTGCACGAGTCAACTTTCTTAAAGAAATGTAATCAAATTTTAATTTAGTTATCTTACTGTTAAAACCAATTAAGTGCTGAATGGGATTAAAGCCACTTATACGACGTGTTAATAATACATGATGACCGGCAATTAAAAATTACTATGAAACGTGTAAATCACGAGTGACAACATCTCACCTTGATGTCGCCGACCTTTGATCAGTCGACTGATTTCACACTTCGACTAATTGAGATGAAAATATGTTGGACTTTAATTGACGGGACCAAATTTTCTTTTCGACTAAACAGGAGTCTCGGTTAGTCAAAATTTGACCTATGCGGAGTTAAAATACAAAGATAAAGAAGGAAATTTGACGGGACTTTAGAAATTCTTCGACTAACGCGGAATTTTGAGTAAAGCGATTTTGACTTATTGAGAGTCAACTGTAGTTACCGTTATGGCGACATGTTAATTGTATGTAGATTATAAACTTCAGCTTCCATGCCGCAACATGTATTATATAGCCGATGCTGCACAATTAAACGTTCGTTGACCTCCAGTACATATATACGTCAGTCAAAGCAGGGTAACACGTTTCGACAAGAATATTTATTTAAACAAATGGAATACCGTCTTCAAAACGCCATTTGCGTTGCATATGTATACTTCAGGCAGATTTTGTTTATGTTTATAAATTTCAGCATTGGCAACACTAGGGGTCATGACCTATGATTACTAACATGCACTAACATTGTTGGCCGTCAAAATGCTTTTTGTACACTAATTGCCCATATGCATGCACATTTAATACAGAACTAATTAATACATTGTCAGTTTGGTTATACACATCATATGTCCACAGGCATCAACCTAAATCTCGCCTGTCCTAATGGTAGATTATAATAAACATTAATTTATGAATGTACATATATTTCAACAGCGAAGTTTGTGTACAATGTATGCAGAAAGATCATTTTATTTTAAAAAATTATGCCATTTATTCTCTCTTAAGTTGAACGTGACAAATAAGCTAATCTAAATGCCATTAGTTTATATTTAGAGTTACAGAACACTGTTTCTTTGGACGATATACCATATGTCTAACACACCATTAGGAAGAAGAAAATACATGTCACATTCAATCTAAACAAATGAATGTATGAAAAGTGGTAGACCACTGATTTCTTTAAATAGAAATATCGGCCAAAATTTCCGGGTTTAGTGTCCTAAACAAGATGTGGTAATGATCTGGGCTTTTTACGATGGACACTGACACGTTTTTGACACAAGATATACTTCATCGTTAATAACATAGCAGATCATCTTTTATATGTCATTTTTATAGAATTACCCGCTTTTAAAACTTATCAATATAATTTGATATTAGGTTTATAGTATGGTATAGAATTTATTCTTACTAAAAGTTTGTCATAATCAAACCAATTTATTTCACTTATTGAATCGTTCAATATTATAGACTTGTTTGATTAATAATTGTTATTGCGTTTCATTTATTTGTTGCTTGAATTGTACAAAAAGAAACACAAACGTATCAAGTAGCAGTTCACGTTTTTATCTCTAATTAGCAAAACAGAACAGAAAATTATTTGATTTTCACTTGTACATAGTACATAATCATACATATTGTGATAATAAATTGATAAAATGCATAAACAATACATTTTCAATACTAATTTTCAATGAATTAAATAAAGGTTAAAGCCAATATCACGTTACATTATTAATGTCACGTCTCTAATTAGAAAGGATATAATGAAACGGAAACCGGGCTAGTTTTTTGACAACACACTAGTGTTTTATAGTCCAAATGGTTAAATGTTTTGTGCAAAAATCAGACATCCATTTAATTCTTGATGATGAAAAATTTGCGAAGGTTAAGTAATTCATAATTGGTGATATAATTAAGAGAAAGTATGTATATGTGAGTGAGTAGACATTAGTTTTTCTGACATACATGGACATTGTAATTTTTTGCATGAATTAATCAAACACAACTGTTAGAGTCAGCAAAAAACTACTTTCACATAAATAAAAAACTGCATATTTTCCTAAATTTCGGCATTATGATATTTCACCTTATATCAAAATTAATTTGAAAACGATTTTTAACCGTTTTTTCTTGTTTGTTAAGAAACATATTTATAAGGACTATTTACACAAATGCACGAAAAACAAACAGAATGCATAAATTATGAGAGTTTTTGTTACATTCGTGCAGATGTTGTCATATGAAGAGGCAAGCCGGGGAATATAATATATGACTTCTTGAGTTTACATTTTAACATGAATTATCATTGTCAGTCATACAATGACAAAACTACAGTGAAAACTTTAATTGTTCATGTTTCCATGGCAACATTGCGATGACAAACTGAGGTCGAGTTATTCAGCAATGCTGCAAAAAAAGTCGGCTAGCCACAGAGGCTTTATTTTAAGATATTATTTGTTTTTCTGACATTGTATTCAGTTATTTGAAGACTACAATGCAGAATTAAGAAAACAAAGCTTTAAGATAATTTCTCCATGCATAATTGAATATATGACGTATAATGGAAAATATGTTTTAATACGGTTTACATATAATTGGTAAAAAATCGTAAAACAATTTTAAAAATCGTAAACCTTTACAAACCAAAAGAGGATGACTTATTTAATTAATATAAATTCAGCCTTTAGTTTTAAGTTGTAGGGCAAAGGAAACGTTAGAAAACATGATATTAAAGTCATAAACACAACATCAAAAGAAGATAATGAAATTAAGTACTTCATTTTCCCTAATCTTTTTCATTCACAACTTTTTTTGTAATACAAAGGCTAAACAATCTTGTTACCTAAGTGAGATGAACAGAATGATTCATACATCTAGATAAAGCAGACGATCATATTTATTAAGAAATGAGTAATTATAGACATATGTTTTCTAAAAATAAGCTGATATATTTGATTCATATTTTACATAATGACAATCGAACAGCTTAATTTAAAAGAATGTGTTTCCATAAGCATTTCAAAAAATAAAATAATAATATGATTCAGAATTTGAACACATTTTACCCCCCACCCCCCAACAACGAAAAAAGAAAGAAAAAAAAGTAAAAAAAAAAGAAAGAAAGAAAAAATACCAAACAAACAAAAAAACACTGCTTATATCTTATATCTTCAATGTGAATCATTTGATAATAAAGCGTTGAATAAGACGCACTGATGTCTCAAAATTATAGAATAAGTAGAATTTATCTTTCAAATGCATCAAAAATGTGTTAGTATCAAGCATTGCATTAATATTCAAATTCATTTCAAGAAATAGAAATTAAGTTCCATTATTTCAATGGTATGTTACAGAATATTTGGGAAACAACCAATGATAATTTGTTATTTCGATGACTCAAGTTTACGAGAATATTTCGATATATTTGGTATAAAACTGTACGAACCTGTTACGTTTATGTCTAGGATGTACTATACTAGAAGAGAAGGACGGTTGTTGACTATGACTATCATTGTTATTACTTTCTACTGAATCTTTACGCTCTTTCATGTTACACATCTAATTGTCCAATATTCACTAGATCGTTCTCTTTCTTTACACCAATTTTACAAAAATAAAATTGGCTTGAGCAATTACACTGTAGGATTTTTTGTACTGAACGTTGTTTTTTTTTCAGTGACAAAACAGGTCCTTCACAAAATCCTTGAAATTATTACGAGTCTAAGTAAAATAACACTAATAAAAAAAATTGTTATAAACTCTTCTATCTTTTTACAGAATAACACTTTTTCACTATAGAAACTTTTCAAGGTTTAAAACCATCAAATGTTGCAAATTTGTTCCAATAAATGTTTTTAAAGTCTGCGACAACATTCTTACAACATCTTGTACAAAAACACGAACTATTCCTTTATGCACGTTTCTACTTCTTCACAAATTGGATAGATTAAAGAACAAACAAAAAATATCAGAAGTCAACCGCGCATGTACGAATCTTGCAATGTATTCTTGACAAACTGGAAACATTTTGCGACGACAATAGGTTTTATAGTTGTATAAAATCTGCGCTTGTCAAATGTATACCGAGATTGACGAATAAATAGAATAACCTGTCAAATATTTGACAGTTATACCATAACTTATTTTTTGTCACCACTCTATTTTCGGCCGCTCATACGTTCCTTCTGTGAATCTGGTCATACTACAAGGGGGCAAAACGACAATTGGTAGAGGGGTGTCACTAATGTGTGTATAATACACAATTGCTTGTCACGTGTGTTTATGTATTTTTGAAAATAAATCAAAATTTGTCTGTATCATTGTGTGTGTGTGATTTTTTACATCATAATGAGTCTCGTGTTTTGTTTCTTTTTACTGGTTAAAAACATCAAAACCGGAAGTAGTTCAAGCGCCCATGAATATCCAAATACGGTCATGAAAAATGAATTTTCATGCTATTTTTAGAAAAAAATTATTCTGAAAACCTGATATGTCATTTAGAAAAACGATATTATTTTTGGGGTAACAAAATACCAGAAAACATTTTTCAGTCTAGATGACACAGAAAGTTTCTTATGTTACTACCAAAGGATAACATGTTGTGATTCGGATATTTAAACCACATGTTTTCCAAGTACACTCCATAAAATGACCTTTAAAACAAAAATGCATGTAACATCTGGTATTCGACGAATTCCTCATCCCCCATCCCTTCCTAACAATGCTCCTAAAAGATTGAAACGGTTATAACTATCGACTTAGTGCAGATGTGATCATTTAGCATTCGATTGGTTAAGACATAACTTTCTGTTAAAAAAATAAGATTATATCCGGGCATATTGATTTCTTGGGATTCCTCAAGATCTGTTTACTATTCGGTAGTACCCCGCATAAAAGTTTCAATCCGGAATAAAAATAATGTCATTTCGGGATAAGAGTAATGCTATTTAGGTTAATTTCGCCCGGCAGTTGAAACGTGAAACGTTTCCGGTGCCTTCTTGCATCCAGTCAATGAAACATATAGAACTAAATATAGAGTTTATAGGGTTAAAGTCAATATATTTATTCTTCGATTTGTAATATCATATTTACCAACTAGTATTGTATCAACTGGATGGTACTGATTTCCAACATGTTTGTTTTTCCTTTATTTAAACATCCCCAAATACATTTCTATGTTTTAGATGCATTAAGCGCATACAATCTTAATACCCCAACCCTAAAATTGAGAGACTTAGATGTACAGATATATACAATTTTGATAAAGTCAAATACTATAATTTTTCTTTTTAATTACACGTTTGTCTACAAAATGTCACAGTGACTTGCTACAAAGATATAAAAGTGTCAAAGTACAATGAGAATAATATCATGTCATGATTTTGATGAAACCAAAGAGAAAACATCTATCTCGAATACGTTTGATATAATGAAGACATAGATATGATATCCTATCAAAATAATTACATTTCTTACATAAATCATTTCACACAGAGCGTGTTAAAATTGATTTAAACACGCTAGAACATGTCTATAAAATGGATTAATTTACTTTAAACAGTCGTTTGTCTTACTCACTTACTTCATTTATCTTTTTACCGCCCCATCGTTAAAATGCAACAAGTATTTTTTTTTACATGTTCGACATTCATTTTAGCTATAAATTCTCTGTTCACTTTGTAGCTAAGGCGATTGTACGGTAGAAATCCTGCCGGGAGAACAATAAAACATAATCATAAACGTTGCAAAATAGCAAAAAACAAACTGTTAAGATAAGGTCATAAGATCAGTAGGTGGTGGCGGGAGATGTGTAAATCTTACTCTTATTGAGTACGCCCGACGAATCTCTCAATAACGCTTTATTGATAATCAAGATTAATAATTTTTGATATTTATGACCAACGGTCTCTATATCCGCTAAAATATCAATTAAATATGCATGCTTTGATAAGATGATGGTAAATTAATTTAATTCTTGAAAATTTAAATAGGTTGAATTTTGAATTAAAAGGTTACACGCATTTGGTGTGATAATTATTTGATTACATAGTCGATTTGTAGACTATGTCATTAGCCTTGTAACCAAGAGGTAGGCTAATTTATCTTAGATAATCGTAAAAGATATATTTCGATATACATAAAATCTAGAGTTCAGTATGTCAGTAGATTTATTTTAGTACTGCATAAGTATTACAATTTATATTATAATATCCTGTAATCAAGCTGCCACTGCTATCAAACATACGTTCTCTCGTTTTATTCAAATTACGGTCAAACCGGTGCCCGACCAGACTAGTTCCGTGCAGTTATACAGTTATATATCGGCATTCTTTCTTGACAGTTTGTTTGTATAAACCTATTATGCATATACTTTAATGTTGAGACATCAAACTATTATAAAGCCGTCAGGAGATCCGGTGTTGTAATCATCCGCCCAAATTTATTAATCAAGAAAACTTCTAAAAAGTCTGAAAGCGATAAATCAACTTTAAATGACAATGAGAGTTTAACAATTTATCTTCTTAGCTAACTGTCTTCAGTCTATTCGCTCACAGGTAAAATAAACTACTTTAATCTTCAACATGTTGAAATTAACTTGAATTGTCACAGGGGGTTAACTCATTTCACTGACCCCACAAATAAAACAAACTAAAAACGTCCCCTTCCGAGAAAATGTCTTAAAAAAAATTTAAAAACACAAAAAAATTTTTTAAAGGGTTTTTTTGTTTGGGTTAAAAAGTCCCCAAATTTTAGGCAGAGTAAAATTTTAAACCAACATTTTAAATCCCCATGGTTTTTTAAAACCATCTGGCACTTGAAATAAACTTTATAAAGTTACAGCTTTAAAAATAGTCAACGTTAGTCACAAACATGCATTCTCTAACAAATGATATTGTACAACTCATATGGTACCAACATTTATATATATATATATATTATATATATATATATATGATATAATTAATAAAAGGCCTGCATAACTTGTAAAAATACAAACACAATATTCCAAATTTTTACAACAGCAATAAGCGTTGAAGCCTGAAACAATAACACATTCAAATGACTTCCCACTTTTTTGATTTGGTCAAAAATGTTGCAACCTTTTGCCACATAATATTTGTGGAATTTAACTGCATTAAATAATTATAATGCAAATTTTGTTTGCACTCATAACTGTTTTAAAAATTGTATATTTTCAGACAAAGATTTGTTTTTCTTTATTCTATCAATTAAAACTCTTACCTTTTGATGTTAGTCCAAGTGTCAAGCTTTTAAAATACGAGGAAAATTTGAAACAGTAAATTATTATTTTCACAAAAATACTGGTTACAACCCATATTTTGTTTAACAAGTTCTTTGAACAGCTAACATGGTGTTGATGTAACATTACATGTTCCGAGTAGAAAATAAGTGAGAAAACTGTTAAACTAGAGATATATGACCACGCTGGAAGACTTGGACAATTTTCAAAACATTGCACGCCCAGTAGGTATGGACCAACCTCGGCCGATCGTCGCTGTATTTATATCACCTGACATTGTAATACATTGTAATGTTTAATGAGTCATTATTGAAATTAATTTTTATGATTTGATTCTTTTTTTAAAATTGCTTTTTTTATATTCAAGAATGTTCACCATTTTTAGATATCGTCTTGAGGAATATTCAATATGATGATTTATCTATTGCTGTTAACATGTTGATATTCAAAATATCAGAACTATATCTTTAAGAGTTTTCTTTACTTCAATATTACATTTGAATATAATCATAAAACACATAAATAATAACAAAACAACAACAACAACAAGAACAACGAAAAATAACAACAACAGCTATCCAAAGAGAATTTGTGTGCTTTGTTACGTAGAAAAATAATTGAATTGTCCTAAATTGAAGTAAAGATAGAAAATAAATAAGAGAATAAGTAAACATACATTAAATTTCCCTCTTGAAAAGACAATTCTGGGTTTTTAATGATATATAATGAATTGAGAAAGGGTTTTAAATTTTAATGTTTTTAGAAGGTTCATCAATGTTGCAACAGCAAACAGAATAGTCCCTTGGTCAGCAGACCCATAAAGACAGGCGTTAACGGTGGTATTTATTAGAAAATATGGACACATTAATATTTATTTATTTACTTAATATAACACAAATATAACATCAATTTATTAAAAATTAGCAAATGTAAATAACTCAGTATAATGTAAAGTTAACCCGTAATCAATCGTAAAGACAAAAGTAGTTCTTTTTAATGCTTAATCACAGTATTTAAGTTAACAAGTGTGGGGGGGGGCGTGAGATTTTGTTTGATTTTTTGCAGAAAAAAAATATCTTATGACTGACAAACAAAATGTATAAATCATTAATTTTCGTTCATAAATTATTATCCTGGTTGTTGTTATTATTATATTTTACCGTGAAAAAGGGGAAGATTAACCTTTAACCTTCTGAATTTTTGTAATGAACTTGACTAGCATTGTTTTTGGAACAGTCCAATTAGATATTAAGCATTTTAACATCAAAATACAAAAAAGAGCTACAAATCGTGTATAAACTGGTCAGACCGCAAAATTGTTATGCCTGTCCTGGTAATGTCCTGGCACAATTTGAGCCGCGTCATGACAAAACCAACATAGTGGGATTGCGACCAGCATGGATCCAGACCAGCTTGCGAACTTTTTAAAGGGAAAAATGACACAAACAATTTGGATCCTGATAGACTGGGCGGATGCGCAAGCGGGGTTTTTGGGATCCTGCGGGTGAAAACCCACTAGGGCTGGTTTTGTTTTGCCCGGTTTAAATTTTTCCATCGGGTCAAAAACCATTTTGGAAAAATTTTTTTTTGAAAAATACGCACAAAAATAAATTAAATGTGGTAAAAGTTAAAAAGGGTAAAATTCGAAATTCCCCAAGGATCCTTTATAAAAAAATATTACAATTTTTTTTCTTGCATTAAAATCATTTAAAAAAATTAAAAAACATGCCGGAAATTAGCAGTTAAGTCATACTGTTTCCAATTTG